GAAATTCGATTCAAAATAAGAACAGCCTGTCAATTTTTATTATCAACAGGTGGCTTCGTTTGTTGGCTCTCAACTAGGGTTAATGAAACCAAATAAACTTGAAAAAGATTTTACATCATTTCATACAAAGTGATTTCATTATTAGTTNTGATTTATTCATATTTAATTTTGCCCAAAGAAAATATTCAATAGATANTANCATTGTAGGAACTAATTCACCTATCACCACCAAAACGAATTAAAACTTCAGAACTTATTTACATATTAAATTCTTCAAGTATTAACTTATGAACTTCGTCACTGATTAGCATTTATTATCTCAATGTCATATGACGTTTCAATAGCATAAATGAATATATATTTCATTTCACTTGTATCTAAAAGCGTTTTAGAAATACTCATGCTTATATTGAGTAATAGGTCAGCATTATTAAAGTCATTGCGGTTAAATATATATGGTAAAATGTTTTCAATAGCCATGATTGTAACTTCCTTTGAAATGTATTTCAATATGAGTAAAAAGTACTTTTTTTCTACATTGGATTGAATCAATGATAATATATTTCTCTAATCAAGGAAATTAATAACTCGATATNGATCATTTCAATAACATTAATATGTGTTAGAGAGCTCAAAAAAGTTAAGTTAGTTANATAATATAGATTCCAAACAACTTTCAATAAAAATTCTGTTAAATAATATTGATATATTGTACCATTATAAATATCTATGTTTTCATTTATTTACATGAATACAGAAATGGTATGGTCCAAATTGTTCGTTGTGTTTTTATGAATTAGCATCGTGCAATGATATACAGNATCGATAATGAACAGAAAGAAATCCTTTTCCCATTTGTGGAAATATGGTTTCTTGATGCCATGATATGTTTTATAATAACATTTTGGATATTTGGAAACATTCACAAGTTTCAAATTGTAAATTGTGTATAACATTTTTCTGAGACTGAGAATCGTCAGAAAATCATTGTTTTGATGTATTTTCACCTTTATATTTCTTCATGAATTTTTTCCAAATTGCTGACATCATAGAAGCCCCTGATATTCCGTCGAAAAAAAGTAGAAATTAAATCAAAACGTACAAATATTTCTGATTATATATTTTAAAGCAAGCAAAAAGAAAAAAATTAGTAGTATGCAGTCACAGAATTAACTTAAAGGNNTNATGGGGGGCGGAGCCCCCCAAATTTTTTGGCTGGTCACCTCAAATTTTTGTTCTGGCCACTATGAAAAAGTGCTGGCCCTAGCGAGCCTTATTTAAAGGATATATTATTATTATTATTTTATTATATCTAACTGAAAAGTACAAATAAATTATTTAGAAAGAAAAATGAATTAATCACTAGGGAGATTCTAAAAAAAGAAAAACTATATCATTAATCAGCGAGGTAGTATGGCCGAGTGGTTTAAGGCATTGGAATTTTCAGTTAGATCCAATTTGCGAAGGTTCGAATCCTTCTTCTACCATTTTTTTAAGTTAAAATTGGTGTTTTTGGTCTTTCAAAAAGTTGATTTGGTCATAATGATGTGATGTCAATTAATCATGTCATCTTATATTAAGAAGCATCGCAAACATGAATATCGCCAAAAGAACATCAATATCGAATGCTTGAAATATTGCTAATATTTCTAATCACGAAACGATCACTGACTTAAAAGATAAAATTATTACTAGATGAACAATCTCAAATATGATAAAATAGATTACATTGTCGCATTGAAGAGATACCCAATGATGATGGGTTTAATTTAACTTCAAATCAAACGATTGAAGATTGATGGATAGAAAAGGTGAAAAAGTGGCGTTTTATTGTGACACGGTTGATATGGGTAATGATGTTAATCTGAAAAAATACAGCTCCTTAAACGTTAATTAGATATCAAAAATACCAGCTTACCGAGACATTTCCCTGGCAATTAAATGAATCATCAAAGAAAAGCATATAAAATTCACTACAACAATTCTCATGAAAAAGCTAACATTGTGAATACTCCATTATTGTTATTATTGTACAAACGTTTAATCAGGGCACTTTCATTGGATGATTTTATTTTGGACGAGTTGCCGCAACACCCATTGTGTTGTTTGTGCGCCAGAATAGTGGAAGAGCTTCTTTCCTCCAGAGCTAAAAGTGACGTCAGGCACACTATGGACGTCTGGAAACATGAAGCAGAGGCGTGGAATGTCATCACGCTTGAATTCTGTTTGTGCTGCAATTTCGTCGCCGTTTAAGCCGACAGAGGATGCAATCTGGCCGATTATTTCACGTTTGGATATATTTTTATTTTCTTCGTAATTTGCGCGGAGTAGTGCCATATGGAATTCGTGCTGTTTGTCTGGATAATGTTTGCCAACGTATTCTGAGCAACAGTGTGCTTCAAAAGTGTCAACTGCGATATCGTTCCATTTCAAAGGCATTTCGTCCGCTTTTGCTGAATTTTCGACGTCGTTAAGCCAGTATGGATGTGGGGCACCCCACCTTCTGTCCATGTATTTACCGAAATCCATTCCGCCGGCTGGAATTCTATCTTCGATAAGGAAAGCATGCCATGTGACGTTAGTTTGAATGCCTTTCTCCTTTAAATATTGAATAGCGCGATCAAGTCGAACCCCACCAACGTAGCACCAGGGGCAAAGAAAATCTGAAACAACACAAACATCAACAGAAAGCGACATTTTGTTGATTTTTCAACTTTTTGATTGTATTTGTGGCCAAAATTGTTATTAAAATATTAAGGTGAAATAATTGACGATTATAGAAAAATAATTCATCGATATTGTTACGATATCTTTCTCAACTCGAAAAAATTATAAGAGACAATTCTATATTTAGACTAATCAATTCATTGTTGTATATATAGCACATTTTTTTATGTATAATTTCGATTACTGTGATATCGTTGATTAAATTTTCGTGAAACAAAATAAAATTACAGTTTAATATTACATTACATCGATTCATATTATCAATATTTACTTGTTTAATCGGTAAACTTTGTCGGCTTTCGGTAAGATTTATCAATGGACAATTTTCATTATGAAGATATTCAGCATAGCTACTACCATTAAATATTCTAAGAATTTGCTTTTTTCATTTATTAAGTTTAAATGTCATTAAACCGAACTTTTACAACTTTCATTTTTGAAATGTATAACTTTGGTCAGAAACTTAAATAATGTATCATTAATGGTAAATATTCATTATGTAATTGTTAAATTTATATTATTTTAATTGCTGGTGATATTATTTGATTGATATCAAGAAAAAATGAAAAATTACGTTCACCCTGAATGATTAAGCATACTCTATAATTTCTTATCAGCAAGGGATCACATCGAAGACAACAACTAAATGACAATTTGCAGTATTGTCATTCAATTATTTGTCAACTGCTGATCACTTTAAAATCACATCACATCATCTAAGAAAAAGTTGGTTAACCCCCATCTTTTTCATGTAGCAGATTTTGTTTTGCTTCAATTTAGTTGAGTGATTTGAATTAATATTTCACAGCATAGTCAAATTTCAAACATTGTTAAATAAACAATTCAAAATTCTATACTGATTTTTTTTGAGACGATTTTATAGATTTTTATATTTCCCGCATTCATGAATCAACCAACAAAAGCAAAATTCTTCCCACCAACACGACGTTTCAGTTTCAAAAGGCCAGTCCTTTTCGATATCGTGGCGGATAATTCAACCGACAAAGCCGAAAACGAAAATGGAAAAGATAAATCTGAAAACGATCAAACAAATGAAAACGATCCACATAATGCGAGCCCTCCACAACCCGAACGTCCAGTCATTCAGCCTCTATCATTCAGCATCAGCTGTGAGCTCCTCTCAAATCAAGACGATTCAAATTTGAATGCTCCTGAATTTGATTGGATTCAGGATGAAATAGAAAATACAGAATTTAACAGAGAAGCATCCTTTTCGATTCCAGGTGATACAAGCATGGATGTTTTAAATGACGAATTAATCTACTGATTATTTTTGTGTGTTAATTTGGCCGCATATTTTTACCATAACTTTTTTCTTCTTTTTTTTATTTTCTTTAATTAAACTAAATATATATTTTCACTTGTTATACACTTTTCTAAGATTATTGTAATCATTTTCCAATAATTCGACAAAACTTTCTAATAATGAATCATCAACCAAAGAATTAATCATCAATCAAAGAATGAATCATCAATCAAAGAATGAATCATCAATA